TGTCAGCTGACAAGAAGGGAGTTATTTTTAGTGGAGATCCTTGAACTCCAGAAACCTGTCTGAGGAGAGATGGGCTTGAACCTGTGGCTTCACCCACGGGGCTGCAGTGACTCTGCAGCTCAAAACAGTGATAAAAACCCCTAAAAATACAGTTAACCTGAATTTAAAAGAGTCCCCATTTGGAATTTGGGCTCGGGGCAGCTTTGTTTTTCCTCTGGAAAGAGGAGCAGCAGCGGCTGGGCTGGGTTGGGTGACACCGGGAGCGAGTTACACTGAGTCACTCTGGAATTGTCACTGCGGGCTGAGGGGACACCGAGTGCCTCCCCTTTCTGGGAGAAGCAGGAGCTGAAGCTGAGCCCTGGAGGGGAGGAGGGTGCTCAGTGCCAGCAGCAGGGCTGGGCTCCACTTGCAGCCCTGGGCTGGTGGGAGCTGCAGGGGCCCCTCGGAAGGAGCTCATTACGGGAGTCGGGGCCGGGGACACGGCAGGGCTGTGTTTGCACAGAGACCCCTCTAATTGCTCAGCCCCTCTCACGGTGTGTCTGCTCCTGTTACAGCTCTTTGGTGCAGATAAAAAGACTCCTGGAAGAAATCACCTCTCCAGCTCTGCCAGTCTGGAGGGCATCTCCAGTGAGATTAATGATGTCTGCCTTAATAGAAGAAAACTTTGCATAAATGAGATTATGGTTTCTGCTGAAACCTGCCAACTCTTATTCGTTTGCAGTAAATATTATCTTTAATTAAAAGTTTTAAGGTATCTTGTTCCTGAACTAATGAGATCTACAGTGATTTCCCTTAGGAATTAATTTACCTTCTTAATTCTTATTCATTTTGGTGATATGACTGTTTAAATCTGATTCAGACTTCAGAGCTCTGTTGAACACATTCATCTGGAACAAAAGGTCATTTTGCCATGTTGATGTTTTGTTGGTATTTATAATTCTCTTGTTCTCTCTCCATTCCAGAGATCCCTGTTCGGGTTCCTGCCCCAAACATTTCCTCCTAACCCTTCTGTTCCTCTCAACTCTTCATGCTGGGAGGCTTTTTTTCCAGAGCCACTTCCCTTTGGATTGTGTTTTGGGTTCCCTCCAGAGCAAAAGTCAATTATAGGGACACTGAAAAAACTCACCCTGATTGCAATCAAATTATTTATATAAAATAGACTAAAACCTCTGGAAAAGACTTGGTGCAACTGCTGAGAAATGCAGGAATATTCCTGCCTCTCTGTCTGGGCAATCATCAACTCTAATTCCTCTACAAGGATTATTTTTAGGCAGCAGGGATGTTTGACACCTGGAGGTGAAAATTGCATTCCTGGATATGTGTTTAAATGGGCAAAGTGCCAGGCAGGAACTGGGCTGGGAGAGTGGGAGCCAGAACCCTTTCTAGGGCTGGACACGTATTGCTGGCTAGATTTTAAAATATGGCATTATTAGGGCTAAATGATAAAGTTCCCTTGTTCTAAAAATAAATATAGATGGAAATGAGAGAGTAAATTTAGAAAGAATTAACTGGTTTGCACACAGAAAGAAGAAACAAGGAGAAAAGAAAGAATTAATATTATTAATATTCCTTAGCTCATTATCAGGAGATTTTTCCAGTGTGAATCCTGAGCCCATCCTCTCAGTGTCCAGGTCTGACATGGGTGGTTTGAAAGTTGGTTAATTAATTACCCTAATGAGGGAAATGGAGCAATCAGAGCAAAGCTGGTGCTGGTGACCAGAGGTGGTTTTTGTTCTGCCTCTGATCGAACATAAAACAGCTCCTCAGGAGCATCTTGGCAGCCTTAACTGGGGAAGTTGAGCCATATTTTAGGCAAGATGCAAACCATTTTTATAGGGAAAAAAATGCCATTTATTTCACTGTTCTTCCCAAGTTTTCCATTCCCCACCCAACAGTCAGGGATAGGAAACATTCCTGTGTCCACTCTCTGTGGAGAATTAGGGATTGTCCTTAAAAACTGCTGCTGTGTCTCTGCAGCTGATAAAAGAAGCCTGTTCCAGAGCCCAGGAGGGACTCCTGGCTGGAGGGAACTCCTGACCCTGAACTTGCAGCTCCAAACAAGGGTAAGAAACACGTTTTGAGGCCCGGGCCGAGCACGCGCCGGCCCCGGGTATTTATAGAGCTGTCACCAGGCTGTGCAGGCTGGTGATGAGCTGCCATTTACAACTCCCTGCTCAGGAGCTGCCTCCAGCCCACACCAGTGACAGCATGGTCAGTAATGGCTGGGCTAACAAACAGTGCTGTTGGCAGGGCAGCAATCATCCCTCAGCCTGCAGGAGATCCTGGGGTTGGGGGCACGGTTGGACTCTTCAGAGACAAAGGAGACTTTTTTGGGTGTGTTTCTTTGAGGCAGCTGGAAAAACTGGGGACAAAGTACAATATAAAGCCACCAATCTGTTCACAGAACGCCTGTCTCAGTGGAGGAATTGCCAGCTTGGATTACCTGGGATGTCTCTGTGGTGTCCAGTGGTTCTGGATGTTCTGTAAGGAATGTCCCCAACAGCCCGTGGGTGTCACATCCTTGGCATCCCAACCCATGGCCAGGACATCCAGGACAAACTTTTGTTTCTTTTTAGTTGGGATGTTGCTTTGCAAATCACCTGTCCTTTGGAGACCTGCTGAGTTTTTGGCTTTTAATTCCATCTTGGAGCCATGAATTCCTGAGCTTCTTTTGCCACCACGAGAAGCAGCATTTCTTTTAACCAGCCCTAATTCTGTGACGTTCCCCTCTATCTTCTCTTCATGGTTTTGTTTAGCAAAGTGCAAACTGAGGCATAGAAATATCCTTAAAAAACAACAGAACCCAAACCCAGCCGAGATGTGTCCCTGGGGGGAGAGCTGATCATTGATTCCAGGGTTTGATCCAGAACTAATATTTGTTTAAATGTTGCCACTGTGTGCATAACTATGGGTTGCTAAACCTTTGGCAGCACATGTGGAGCAGAGGGAGTCACCAAAACTGAGCCCAGAATTTGGCCACAGCCTCAAGCTGGGAAAAAAACAGACAAAGAAAGATGAAAAATGGATAAAAAAACCACACCTTGATTTCCCCAGCGCCTCCAAGAGCCCATTTCCACAGGAACCCACACCCAAGTTTACCTGGTTTTTCCCAAGAAGCCACTTTTATTCACTGTTTAAAACCTGTGCCCACAGTTCAGCTCATCCTGTGTTTGTTTAAGCGATGGAATTAATCTGAAAGGTCTTCCCTGCCTCGGGCTCTTGGCCTCTGAAGCTAAAAATGACTCTTGCTCCTTGAGCAGATATTATCAATTACAGGTTCCAATTAGTCCTGTGCAAAACTTAGGTGTGTTCAGTGCACAAGTTCTCACAACATCCAGCTCAGATCAGGGCTGGTTTCAATTAATTGGGCAACAATTAATTGTCAAGAAGAGTTTTCATTGTTACAAAGAAACAAAAACACCACAACAAACCCTTTTATTAGACAATTGCTTTTTAATTACATTTTTTGCAGCCTGGGACTTCCAACAGTGTAGGAAACATTCCTCTGTTTGCCCACCTATCGAGAACTAGCACAGGGTATTAAAATAGGTCTTTTTCCAGCTATTTTGGAAAAAAAAATGAGAGCAGAGGGGGGCTGTGAGCAGCCCTGGGCCGTGTGCCCATTGCTGCCCAGCAGTGTCAGCAGCAAGGCTGGAGGAAACCTGAGAGGACTCAGACAATCAGTGCTCAGTCCCTGCACTTCTGGAGGCGTCAGCAGCTCCTCTTTCCATTTCAAAGGGATTGGCATCAGTGAGGCCTCCTGGCCCTGCCAGTTGTTCCTTCCCAGGTGGGCTCAGAGCTGCAGTGCAGTTCCCAGAGGTTGAAGTGTGGTTTTAGTGGGAGAGGCCTTTGGACAGTGCTGTTCCAGTGCTGATTTAATTCCATCCGTGGCATCAGCCCAGTGCAGAGGCTTCTGCAAAGGCAGCTTGTTGTAAATTGATGGTAAGTGTCAGATAAAAGCATCATTCTGCTGCAAACAACAGGGGGTAGGTGTGTAATGACATTTATATTGATATTTTATTTAAGTATCTCTTCAGTTGACAGTCACCCAGACCAGTAACTTGTACTAGTCCTGAAATAAGATGGCAAGAATTTACCACAAAAAAAGAGTCAGATTCACTGCAAAGGTAGAGAATCATGGAGTGGTTTGGGTTGGAAGGGACCTTAAAGACCATCCAGAATATTGTATTTAAAATCAAGTCGTGGCTGGACTTGGCTGATCTTAAGGGCCTTTTCCAACCTTAGTGATTCCATGATTAGGGTCCCTGCTGAGAGCCCAGGATTCCTTTTCCCTGTTGAACTGAGATCCCAACCCTTCCCTCTCCCAAGGCTGGTGCGGTTAAGGAACAGAGAGTGAACCACCACAAAGAGGATCTGCCAGGTCAGGGCAGTGCAGGTAACCCTGGCCCCATTATCCCCCTCCCTGCTGCTCGGTGTGTCCTCAGCGCTCTTTCCCTGGAATGGCTCCTTATGGATATTCCAGGGCAGGCTCCTGATGCTTTCCAGCGCTTGTTTCCAGGAGCCCGCAGCTTCATTTTCCTGCCAGAGGGGCCGCAGCTTTATTATTTTACTGCCATCTACTGGGAAAAACAGAATTCTTTTTAAAATTGTCCAGGAACGAGCTGAGGCCGGGCCTGCGCCCCTCGCTCTTCCTCAGGCCGGGCCGGGCCGGGCCGGGCCGCCCCGCGGCCTCACGGGGCAGAGCGGGGCTTCAGGAGGGACACCCCGAGGCTTAGCGCGGCCCTGCATCCCTCATTCCCCATTCCAGGGATTCCCCCATTCCAGGGGGTTCCCCATTCCAGGGGTTCCCCATTCCAGGGGTTCCCCATTCCCGGTTCCCCCCGGAGCGGCGGCCCCGCGGTTGCCCTGGCAACGGCGGCGCGCGCGGGAGGCCCCGCCCCCCGGCGGCGCGGCGGCCAATGGGAGCGGTCGCGGGGCGGCCACGTGGTGGGCGGGGCGGCGCGCGGCGCGGTGAGGAGGGGCGGCGCGGGGCGGGGGGCGCGCAGAGCGCTCAGACCGCTGTCATGTTCGGGGGGCTCGGCAGGTACTTCGAGGAGGATCCCTTCTTCAGGTGAGGGCCGGGCGGGGACCGGCGCTCCGCGGCAGCCGGTTCGGGGCCGTAAAGGGGCGGTTGGGGTGGGTGTGAGGCGACGAGGGGCTCCGGGGACCGCCAGGGGTGGCGATGGGTCTGAGGCAGTCGTGGGGCTGCGAGGGGCCGGTCCGGAGCTGTAAAGAGGCGGCTGGGGTGGGTCTGAAGCGGTGGGGGTGTAAGGGACCGCCTGTGGTGGTGACTCTGAGGGGGCGGGGGTGTGAGGGACCGGCCGGCAGTGAAGCGGCTCCGGGCGCCGCGGGAGCGGGGTCGGTGCGGGTCAAGGGGCCGGTGGCTGAAGGACAGGGTCGGTGTGGGTTGAAGGGGGCCGGTGGTTGAAGGACGGGGTCGGTGCGGATCTCTGGGTCGGTGGTTACAGGACGGGGTCGGTTGCGGGACGGGGCCGGTGCGGTTTAACCGCCCCGCTTAACCCCGTTTAACCGGCCCGTTCAACCGCCCGGGCCCCCTCCCAGAGCCGAGCAGGGGGTTAAAGGCTCTCAGCGATGTCAAACAGCAGAGCTGTGTCTCTGCCTCCCCTCCCGGCAGGGAAGGGCTCAACCCCCGTCTCACGGTGGCAGCGACTGGGGGGGAATCGTCACCTCCCTTGGATGGAGCCTCTTCATTGTGTTTTGTCCTTTTTTTCCCAAATACAGAGGCTGAGTGTTGTAGCCTTTCTGGATTTATTTATTTAGCTGTCTGTCGGCTCTTGTCAGTGCCAGCACTACAGACAGCACCCAGTTCTTCAATTAAAACCTTGCAAATGTGTGCATGAGAGCACTGAGGGCAAACTGTCTCCTTGTGCTGCTTCTCAAAGGGATGATGGTGCTATTGCTCAGCAGATGGATTTTTTAGTCCTTATTCCCTGTGAGGGTGGGCAGGCCCTGGCACAGGTTGCCCAGAGAAGCTGTGGCTGCCCCTGGATCCCTGCAAGTGTCCAAGGCCAGGCTGGACAGGGCTTGGAGCAACCTGGACTGGTGGAAGTGTCCCTGCCCATGGCAGGGGTGGCACTGGATGAGCTTTAATGTCCCATCCAACCCAAACTCGTGATTCTATTTCTACACCGTGAGCACAGTGGTGGGTCATGTCTGTGTATTCAGGTCTGAGATCAGTTTATTCCCTGTGGGAATCTTCTTTTGGAAGAATCTCAAGCTGAGTAGTGAGTAATACAAGTCCTTCTGCCCTCAGCCCCAACTGCTGAGTTACCTGCTCTGGCCCCATGTTATGTCTTTGGCCAGGATCTGATCTGTAGCAGGTGAAAATGGCATCAGAGAACTCTGAGGAGCCTCAGTAATTGCTGTTAATCTTTAAGAAAACTATGAGGGATTTAATTACAGCCAGGATCAGGGGTGAGGCCGGGGGTGGATGAGGAAGGGGAATCGGGCCCTGTGCTGTGGGTTTGTTGTCTGATCTCCTGGTTACAGGGGTGTTGTGGCTGAGGCTGCTCACAGGACAATCCAGTGCTGAGCTCCAGCACATTCCGAGCAGTGGGAGAGTTCCCAGAGCTCTGCTGCAGGGATTAGTGCACTTGGTTTCCAGGAATATTCCTGCTGTTATAACAGCTCGTGAGTTCCCTGCAGGAAACTTCCCCGGGCGTGAAATTAAGTCTTGTTTGAAAGATCAGTGGCTTTCTTCTTATTTATTTATTTTATTTGTTGCAATTGTAGCCACTGAGGTAGGGAAAGAAGATTGTGGGAGGTGGAGGAAGGGAGTGTGTGTGAAAGAGATGAGGTGGATATTGAGACTCGTTTTCTTGGCTCTATCCTGGTAAATCTGTTTTGCATATCATTAAGAGAGGAGCTTATTGCTGAGATAATCTTACCTCCAAAATAGTGTAATAATGAGCTTGTGTTGCCTCATAAGGAGAGATTTTGATGCTGCACTGGAAATAGTGCCTGGGTTGCGGTGCCCACGTGTGAGCAGCTGTCCCAGGGAAGCACCAGTCACTCACCCAAGGTGTCCACTGGATCCAGCCCTGGCACCCTGGGCAGGTGCACGACTTGGCCTGTGCTCTGATGCACCAAAGCAGGGCTTTTGTAGTTTTGTGCCAGCTGTTATCAGGGCACCTGCAACTGCAGCCTCACAGGGGGAAAAGGATGTCTGATGTTTAGAGATCATATATTACCTCATAAAAACATATCTTGCATCCTGCACTGCAGAGACTTGCTCAATCCATCTCTGATTTTAAGGGTGACCTCCTCCTTTTGTAACTGTGGGTTGAGTTTGCCCCACTCCAGGTCATATCAAAATGGTGTTTCTTTTAAAGCTTGACAGCACTGGATCTCTTTAGAGCTGGCTCCCCAAAATATCCCAAGGGAGCTGGGAGAGACTGCACTTGTGTTCCTGGACTGTCACTCCACACTCCGTGTCCTGCTTCCCTGTCTCTGGCACTGAGGAGCTGCATTTCCAAGGTGTCTCATAAATCTTGAATTCAGACAAACAAACAACAACCCCCTGGGGTTCCAGGTGCACGTGATGCTAAATTCCACCAATTTCCATTAAATCTCTGGAATCTTGTCCCGCTCCTGTGTTGTGGGTAGTTTGTGAGTGTCCTGCTTTTGAACTGGAAGGAGCTGGGGAGAATCCTGCTGTGGATCAGCTCCTGCTGGAATACAGTTCCTCTTCACTGGTGTTTGGTAACCAAACTCTCTGAAGTTGGAGATCTGATGGAATTGTGCAGGTCCTGTGGAGGTGTTCGTGTTCTTCCCTCCTCTTGGCTCGGGCCTCCACTTTTTCCATCTGTTCTTCATCCTGAAGTGTGGGAACAGCTCCTTATCATGGCAGGGCTGGAGCCAGAGCTGGGAGTCAGCTTTAAACTTAAAATGCTTTAAAGGTCTCCTTGCACTGGGGTCATTTGAAGTCAGGGTGTGGCTTAAAGGGGTATTTTTATGTTAAAAATCCTGTTTGAAAATTAATCCTGCGTCATGTTCTTATCACTTAGAGGGGAAAAAGGAGTAATGAAATGCAGCTTTGGCACAGGATCAAACTGGCCACGTGAGGTGGAAACTGGGGACTGGAGATAAGGGCTGGGGAGCAGAAAGGCTGTCCAGGAGATACTGGGCATGGAAGGAGTTGGAGGGACAGCCTGGAGCTTTTCCTCATCAGATATCCCAGGAAAGGCTGTGGTGTCCTGGAAAGATGAGGGTGTGGGCAGTGCCAGGGGTTGAGAGGAGGGAGGATGAGGTGCTGCTAAGTGTAAATAAACATACCTGGGAAGTGACTGTTGATGTTAATAGAGTGGCTTTCAGTGGAATGGCAAAGAGGAAAATTAGCTGGAGGAAGGAAATAATCCATGGTTTTGTATGGGAAGTGTTAATTTGGAGTTTGGACCTCAGGCCACAGCTGCTCATCTGTTGTGCTCCTGAAAAAGTCCTGGTTGGATCTTCTTTTGGCCTCAACTAGAAATATTTAATTCTTGCCCAAATTAGAAAATGCAGAAAATTAAGGAAGTTGAGCAGTGTTTTCCCTGCAAGTCAAACTTTGGGAATGCCAGTGGGGTTCTGTAGGTTTTTGGGAAAGAAGGGGTGGAGTGGAAGATGGCCTGGAAGGATGGAGTATTTCTGGAAAAGATGAGGGAAAAGTAATGCAGACATTGAGAGTGAGAAGCAAGACAGTGAGAGTTCATTAGGATAGGAGATTGCCCACTTGGGTCCTATGAAAATAAGGGTTTTGCATAAAGAACCCCATGGAACGATTGAAAAACTGGGAGTTTGAAAGACTCGGGAGCCGTTGGGTGTAGCTCGGAGCAAACCTGACCGACGTGGCCGTGTTTTGCAGGGATCCCTTTGCCGCCCACCATGAGCACGTGAGGCAGATGATGAGGAGCTTCTCGGAGCCCTTCGGGCGGGAGCGGTGTCGGAGCGTGCCGGAGGGCAGGGCCGGGCCGGACCGAGCGCTGGAGCCCCGAGCGCGGCCGGAGTCCAGCCTGGCGGCCCGGGGGAGCCGCAGGGTACGTGTGGGGCTCTGGGGAATGGGGCAGTCCTCTCCTGCTCTGTGTTCACTTCACTTCAAAACGTACCTGGATGTGGCTCTTGCCATCCCAGAAAGTGTCCAGGGCCAGGTTGGAGCAGCCTGGGCAAGGGAAGGTGTCCCTGTTCATGACAGCGTTGGAACTGATCTGTGAAGGTCCCTTCCCACCCCAGGAGTCTTTGGGACTCCCACCCCGGGGTCTTTGGGCCTCCAACCCTCTTTATGCCTTCACTGTGCACTTCAGCGTTCTGCCTGGAGTTATTTATGTTGAGCACAACCCTGTTTCACCACCTAAGTAGCACCTACAGAAGTATTTTAACCACATTTTCATCTTTGCAGCAGTGAATGAAGGCTTCACACTCTGCATTCAGGCTGATTCTTAATGTTTGCTGTAGAAACAAGCCTGTAAGAATTAAGGCTCAGGGAATTTGATACAAACTGTAGTATTTGTGTATGTTGCCAGCTGAAAGGGAGATGTTGGCAGTGATCTGTGTTTGGAATAAAGTATCTTCTCAGCTCTGGGTGTGCAGGACAGTTCTGTGCTGCCCTGCTGGAGCTCAGCCTTATCCATGAGCTGTATTTAGACAGCAGATACACTGGAGGTGGTTCCTCTCCCTCTACATATTTAGCAGCTGCAAATCTCTTAGTGAATGGACCCCACTGGAGTTTAAAAACCGTTGGAAGACAAAGGCACATGAGGAGGGCTCGTGGCTCTGGGCCAGGTTTGGGTGGTTGGCCCAGCCCCTGTGGTCTGAGCTCAGTAAAGCAGAGCTCAAAGCCAGCTCTGTCACCTGCACGTCCAGAGGGGAGCTGGGAGATTCCTGCCCTGCCAGTTCCTTCAAATATAGAAGCTGCTGGAGCTAATCAGGGCAGAGCTTTGCTCTGCTGAGCCTTGGGCTTTGGATCAGGAGGTGCCTAAACACGGATTTTGCCCTCAGTAAAGGAAATGTCAAACCTGACTGGAAAGCTCTGGGGGTTGTGTCCCTGCCCCTGCAGGGAGGGCTGAATGTGAGCCCCAGCAAACCTTCAGCTGTGGTTGCAGCAAGAAGTTAAAGGTCCAAGAGCACTGTGATAGTTTGAGAAGCACTAAAGAATTCCACACCTGCCAAAATCTTCCCAGGAACTTTTGATGTCCCTCGTGTTTCACCAAAGACTTGGCAGATCTCCCTTTGCACTTGAGATATATAGAAAAAAATAGATTATTTCTTGCAGTTCTGCCTCATGTGCACTGACAGAAATCTGAAGAGTTCATGAAGATGTTCCAGACTTGGATAATTCCTTCCTTTTGTACTTAAAGTTCCTGTAAAGGGTTTGGGTGCCCAGCCTGTCTTTGGGCAGGCCTTTATCTGACTCTACCATCTTAGTCTCCTGGAAACATCCCAGTGTTTCCCAGGATCTGCCTGCCCTGGCACGCAGGGATGCTCGCTGTCAGTGGGTCAGAGGTGTTGATTTGTTGATTTTAATCAGCCTTCAGTGGTTGCACAACTGGAGTGGAGCGTTTCAGGGGGTGTCTGGAGCTCTGTGCCGTGTTTTAAACGACATCACAAAGGCTTTTGTGGTGTGCAAATGTTTCTCAGCCTCCAGCTCTAAGTGCTTTTAGTAGGTACTTACCAATATTTATTCAATGTGGTGGCAGCTCTCGCTGTGTAATCATCAGTGTAAATATTTCTGCATGCCCAGAGACTCCTTGATATCATTAATTACCGAGTCCTCCTGAGTGGCTGCTTTTATCTGACTGGAAGTGTTTAATGCCACCTGTGCTGTCTGTCCAAGTTAGTTCTGATAACAGATAAAATAATAATTAAAGATGTTGGTTCCTTTCTCTTCCAGGCAACGAGCTACTCCCTCATGCCCTTTGCAGGCTTTGGGCTAGGGGTTAGTATGGCAGGAGGAGCTGCTGCTGGGTGTGTGCTGTGTGTGCAGCCAAAGCATGGGCTTGGAGTGCTTTTCTGCTGTAATTTGGGGGGCTGGAACATCCTGTCAAATATCTACAATCTGCCTGCAATTCAGAGCCCTCAAGGGCTCCCATTTCTTGCACTCAAGAAATGAGTTGCGGATTTTCTCTACCTGAATTTTACTGAGTTTGGGGCTTAAGCTGCAGATTCAAGCTTTGAAATGAATTTATTTCAACTTAAAGCATGAAGGGTCACACAGTACTTTTACAGAAGGAGCTGATGAGGTTGGAAGGTACATGAAAACATTTGTAAAATCAACTCATATCGTGGCCAGTTTGACATCTGAGCGTCCAATCTTCCGTCTTCCCAATATCTCCAACTTAACAACCAAGCTTCCATGCTACCTTCAGTTTTCCTTGGAAAAGCTGCATCTTGGCTTGTCTGTGTGTGAACTGCAGGCTGAAAACCTTTCTGATGCTCTTGAGTTGCTTTAAAAATGCATGTAAAAAAACCAAAACCAGCTTCAGGACTGGGAGAGTCAGAAGAGTGTGTTTTAATTGTCATATCTTGTTATCAGGATGCAGACTTTGGGGATCCATTCTCTGCCATGGACAGGATGATGTCAAACATGAGGAACAGTATGCTGGAAATGCACAGGAAATTTGTAAGTTCTTCTAAAACTGGTCCTAAAATTAACTGTTGAAGAGTGACAGTTATTGGAAATACCACTCAGAAAAAAATGGTATTGATCTCAAGGAGCCATTCAAGTGAGAATTCCTATTTTTTGCCCAGGCTATCTTGTGGTTATAATTTTCCTTTATTCTTTGAAGGTAAGATTGAGAGTGCTGCCCACCAGGCCTTATCTGGGGTGCCGGGAGGGTTAATTTAATGATGATAAAATAGCCAGAAATGCCTGTTATCCACGAGATTCCACTTCTGTTAATGAGTTTCTGTTGCTGTGCAGGATGACCTGTCCATGCACCCCGATGGCCACACGTTCAGCTCCTCCTCCATGATGACTTACTCCAAGATGGGGGATGAACCTCCAAAGGTCTTCCAGGCCTCGGCCCAGACCCGCACGGCCCCGGGAGGTGTAAGTGTTGCTGGCACCCAGCCCCAGCTGGGCTGCCCTGCCCAGCACTGGGGTGCAGCCACTCCAAACCACACCTGGCTCACAGTTCTTCTCCCTGGAGACAGTTCCTCTGTAATTCATGGAATCCTTTAGGTTGGGAAAGCCCTCCCAGCCCAGGGATCCCCCTGTGCCCCATCCCCACCTTGTTCCCAGCCCAGAGCACTGAGTGCCACGGCCAGGCCTGCCTTGGACACCTCCAGGGCTGGGCACTCCAAACCTCCCTGGGCAGCTCCTTCAATGTTTAACAACCCTTTCCAGGCAGAAATTCCTCCTGTTGTCCAACCTGCTCCTCCCCTGGCACAGCCTGAGGCCGTTCCCTCTCCTCCTGTCCCTGTTCCCTGGGAGCAGAGCCCGACCCCCCCCACCTGTCAACACAAAGAAAATGTACAAAGTGAGGAAAATACATGTTTTTCAAACACTGCTTTATATTAAAGGCTTCTTAAAGAACTCTTTTCCTCCTTGTAATTTATATGCTTTAAATATAACCTAAATAAATGATATGTTTATCCCAAACTGGAAAAACAGTGCTAGAACAGCTGATTTTCCTCAGCAGCCTCTGATATCTTTCTCTTTGCTATAATTAATCCTTTTCCTGCCCCTTTAAACTACAGGAGAGGCATCTGTTTCTGCCAGCCCTGCCTTTGCATGCCCCCTTTGCCCAGGCATTACATAACCCTGAGCTGGAGCTGCCCTTGCAGCCCCTTCCCCGCAGCTGTTGTGTCTAATTCTGCCCAGGCCTTGGAACCTGAGCCCTGGGACAGAGCCCTGAAAGGCTGGAACTGCTCCCTAAAGGGGCAGCCCCTGCACACCCTCACTCAGCACCCTGCTTCTAAGAATACCCCCTGCACAGCATGAGAAGTGGTTGCCTGGGTTTCAGGCCAGTCAACACCACAACCTAATAATCAGTTGTCCCTCACACTGGGAATTTTGGCATCGGGTGTTGCTCGTTCTGTTGTCAAGGAGAACGCTGAAGACTTGGCTGTGTAGTAAATTTAGACTGGGATTTTTTCTCCCCTCCAATAATTAATATCCAGTTAAGGTGGTGGTCAGACTTCCTGTCTGTTGGCAAAAACAAAACAGACTTGATGTGTGTTTTGTTGGTGTATTCTCAGCCAACACAGCAAATGAGATCACTGGAAGAGCCTGTGAAAGCTGATTTTATAAAGGAAAGATATAAAACATTTGGGGGTAGGAAATAACTTCACAAGGGCCTGGAGTGACAGGACACAGGGAATGGCTTCCCACTGCCAGAGGGAAGGGTTAGGTGGGATATTGGGAAGGAATTCCTGGCTGGGAGGGTGGGCAGGCCCTGGCACAGGGTGCCCAGAGAAGCTGTGGCTGCCCCTGGATCCCTGGAAGTGTCTGAGGCCAGGCTGGAGCAACCTGGGCTGGTGGAAGGTGTCCCTGCCCATGGCAGGGGTGGCACTGGATGGGCTTTAAGGTCCCTTCCCACCCAAACCAGTCTGGGATTGTGTGAACTGGTTTAACTTCTGTTTTGATGGGAAAGATACTGATTTCCCCTTTTTTTTTTTGTACAGGTAAAGGAAACAAGAAAAGCACTGAAGGATTCTGAAAGTGGCCTGGAACAAATGGCCATTGGCCATCACATCCAGGACAGGGCTCATGTCATCAAAAAATCCAAGAACTGCAAGACTGGGGATGAGGAGATGAACCAGGAATTCATCAACATGGATGAAAGTAGGTCTTTTTAGGCAGTTCTCTAATGGGCTTTACGCTGTTTCACACACCAGTGTGGGAGTTCCAGCTTGAGACACCCTAAAAGGGACTTTAGACAGACTGAAAGTCTGCCCATCAAATCCTCTTTCCCCCAAAAATTGCTGCAGACCACGTGGAGAATCATGGACTACAAATTAAAAAAATCACTGCTCAGACTCACCAATACTAATTATATTTGTTTTCTTGTCTTTATTAAAAATAAATGTAAATTTATCTGGTTCCAGATGAGGCTGAAAGCTTTGATGAGGAGTGGCAGAAGGAGGTCATGAAGTTCAGGCCATCCAGAACCAGAGGCTCTGTAGAAGCTCCAAAATCCAGAGGTATCAATTACAAGGAGAATGGATCAAGAAGGTAAATACAATTTCCTACCTATATAAGGTAGGAATCATTTCCTCAGTAAGGAAATTCCAGCAGCACAAGGAAAATCCAATTCTGGAGCAGATGTGTTTATGAACAGCCAATTCTTATCACCCTGAGGAGGAAGAGCAGGTTTTATCCCTCCTTGTCCCATGGTGACTGGGATTGTTGTTGTTGTTTTTTTCCAGAGAGAAGCTACTTGGAACTGCCCGTTCCAGAGTGCCCAGAGATTCCCTGGAGTCTCTCAGTGTGAAAGGAACGCACGTGCCCCTCAACAGAAGCAGCAGGAAATAAGTGGCCCCATTCCCCTGGGATGGAGTTTCTCCAGAGCAGAAAATGGTGCTCATGTCCATACAAATACACGGGATATGTGACCAATCTCTGTTTGTGTTGTGCCTTTGCTCCTCCTGAGTGTTCCTCAACCCTCAGCTCCTCAGTTAAAACTAAAACCCAACTAAAAACCCATCAACTTTCTGCCTGAAAGCACTTTATGGATTATCACCAATTCTGTTTAAAAAAAAACCATTGATTTGCAAGGTTTTCCTGCTACAGCAGCACCAGTCTCAGGCTTTATCAAGCTTGGCACTGCAGCTGCTTTTCCCCACTCTATAAGTTGCACAGAAAGTAAATACTCTTTATTTAGTGTGGCTGAAATATATATATCTTTAAAGTCATACTGGGAATTCTAACAGAATCCCCCCATTCACCTTGTTTGAACATGGAGAAAAGTGAAATCCTAAAATGGCAATACTGTCTCATTTTTAAGTTGATAAGCTGGGCTTGCACCTCATTTTCAGTGCCTGAAGTGTCCAGTTTGTACCTCTGATCCTGTGTGTGTTTATTCTGGAGTTGGCCCATCGCTGCTGAGGATTGTCTGGAGCAGCTTTTAATCACCCCCTGTGTCCTGAGAAACTCAGCTGCACTTTTAGTTGTTAATGGGAAAAATATGTGGGAGAAATGAGTTTAACTGGAACGATTTCACCATTTCTCCTGTTCCCAGGAGCCAGGAGAGAGCCCTGCACGCAGGAAACCATCTCCCCTCAGCTGAGTTTGTTCTTTGTGATGATCCTAAACCTCCATCTGGTGTCCCTGGATGATGTTGTTTGAGTCTGATGTTCTAGAAAATCCAGGGAAATCCTTGTATTCCAGGTGTCCACGTGCTGTTTTGTCACACAGAATTATCCACGTGTTGTAGCATAAAGAATTTCTGTTTATTAAATAATATTACATAAACTCAAGACTACATTAAGTGTAGCCTTAAAAAGCACTGTTTATATGATAAAATAGCATTAGTAAGTTAAGAGTAATGTTTGTTTGGCCAGAAAGCCTTTAAATCATATTTAATCTACCTGCAGTTTCCCCAGATTATTTAATTTTAATTAAATAATATGTTTAATAATGTCGAAAAATAATCACCAGCACTTTTGTTGAGCTCTGACAAGGAAAGGCCAATTATTTGTTGTTTCTTGCAGTGGTCTATTCCTTGTTCTTAGAGCAAATATTAGTGGCAATAAGTTCATGTGATCGATTATTAGTGGCATTAATTGGGGCTGTTGAACCATTTAATGAGCAGTGAAGGCAAAGGGGGGTCAGGGGATGCTTTGCCAGCCCTTGGAGCACAATCCAGGGGCTCATTTTCCATCCACTGAAGATGATGTGGCTTTTGCAATTAATTCAATAGACAACATAAGGCTGTGGAGGCTTTTCCCAGGTATGTCACTCAAATTTCCCAGTGATTCACAGCAGCAAAGTTCTCCAAGTTGGAACGTGAGCAGGAACGTTGGAGAGACACTGCTGTTCAACAGAGAATTCACCTGACAGCTTGGCTTTCTGTCTGAGATGAAAAAAACCCAGGATACAGACATGTAATACTAAAGCAAGCACATCCTTGGGCTTGGAAATGACAGCGGGAAGGGGCGAATGTTCCTTATGGATCGCTTTGTTATGCCAAGAGTGTTCCCCGTGTAATGTACAGGAAGCTGTTCCCTGTAGAACCATCTGAAACTGCAGTTCTTGAATAAAGTTATTTATTATTTATGGGCTTGCTCTGGTTTATTCTCTGCCACACGGGGAGTTGTGCATTATTTAGTCTGGGCTCCGAAACATTCCAGTGTCACAAGACGACCAGGGAAAGCTGGAATATGGAAGGAGTCCCTGCCATGGCAGGCGGTGGAATGGGATGGGCCTGGAGGTCCTTCCACCCCAAACCACTCTGGGGAGTGGTTTTTCCAGAAGGAAACATGAATTTTCCGTAAAAAAATAAAATTTGACAGAAGGAAACTGCTGCAAGGGGGACTCAAGTATGGAGAGGGCCGGGCTGTTCCCAACTTCAGAGCTGCTCCTGGAGCCTTCCCCGGAATGAGAAACTTCCTGGTTTATCCAATAGCGGGGAATTTTTTTATATTGAGAACATCTTTAACATTTCTCAGCCTGTTCCAGATGGTCCCCGTGCCGCACACACCATCCTGCGCATCCTGGGATCGCTTTCTCTGTGTCCGGGCACTTCTGACCCCTTTGCGCAGGGAGCCCTTCTTGTTCCTAATCACTAATTGTTAACAGTTCTAATTATTAATTAGAAACACCTCCAGCTGGAGCTAATTACGAGCAATCCCCAACCTCCAGCTGCTCGCCCGTGGATGGTTCCCCCTCGCTCCGTCCCGGTCCCCGATTTGGGGTGAAACCCGCCCGTTTCAGGGCGCACGTGGAGAATTCCCGGTGTGCGGGGCCGGGGGCGCTCCCTGGAGGCTCGGGCTGGGGAACGCGCCGGGATCGGGTCGGGAGGAGCATCCCCGGTCCCCTGGGTCGGGAGGCGCATCCCCGGGTCGGGAGGCGCATCCCCGGTCCCCGGGTCGGGAGGAGCATCCCCGGCTCCCCGGGTCGGGAGGAGCATCCCCGGGTCGGGAGGAGCATCCCCGGTCCCCCGGGTCGGGAGGCGCATCCCCGGTTCCCGGGTCGGGAGGAGCATCCCCGGCTCCCCGGGTCGGGAGGAGCATCCCCGGCTCCCTGGGTCGGGAGGAGCATCCCCGGTTCCCGGGCCCGTCCCTGCGGATCCCCCGGAGCTGCCGGGCCCGGCCCGGGCGGCGCCTGCGCGGGGCCCCGGAAGGGGCGGGAGTGACCCGGGATTGATCCGGGATTGTGCCGGGACAGGGACGGAGCCGGGCTGGGGTTGGAGCTGGACCTGGAGCCGGGGCCATGCTGAGCGTGCTGAGGGCCGGGCTGGCCCCGGGCCGCCCGCGCCACCTCCAGGTACCGCCCCAGGGCCCCTGAGGAGGGCCGGCCCCGCTCCGGAGCGCCGGGAGGGGGAGCGGCCGGGCCGGGTCCGTCCGAGCCCCCGTGACCGCCACGTGTGATCGGTCACAGGGATGGGGGCACGGAAAGCCGGGAATGGCAGCGGGGTTGGGATGCGGGGCTGGCGAGGAGGGGCCGGGCACGGTCCCAGGTGACCTGGGAAGGCCACTCGGCTTTAAGTGACCGGTTTGGCACGGAGTGGAGACCGCAGGGAGGCGGTTCGGAAGTTTATCCGTCGGCACAGTGCGTCACAGGAGCAGTTACGGTGGGAAAAGACTTCCAGGATCTCCAAGTCCAACCTGTGCCCGATGCCCACCCTGTCCCCCAGCCCAGAGCACTGAGTGCCTCGTCCAGGCCTGCCTTGGGCACCTCCAGGGCTCCAAACCTCCCTGGGCAGCCCCTTCCAACGTTTAACAACCCTTTCCAGGGAGAAATTCCTCCTGCTGTTCAACCTGCCCCTCCCCTGGCACAGCTGGAGGCCGTTTTCCCTTGTCCTGTCACTCCCTGCTGTGCTGGCTCAGCTCCTCACTAACCCACGACCTCCTCTTGCCCTGCAGCTGCTCCTGAGCTCCTGCAGACACTGCTCCTCGGGGGTCCTTCCCAACGAGAGGATCCGAAACATCGGCATCTCGGCCCACATCGACTCCGGGAAGACGACGCTGACGGAGCGGATCCTGTTCTACACGGGCAGGATCGCGCAGATGCACGAGGTGAGACTGCAGGGCTGCTCTGGGGGAGCTCTGAAACCCTTTGAAAACAGGGGGAGGGCAAGGGGGTGGAATCCCAGAATCACTGAGGTTGGAAAAAACCTCCAAGGTCATCAAATCCCCCCCGTGCCCCATCCCCACCTTGTCCCCCAGCCCAGAGCACCGAGTGCCACGTCCAGTCCTTTCCTGGGCACCTCCAGGGGATGGGATGTGCATTCCTAGTAAACTCCTTGGGCTGTGTTTCTTTAATTTCTTTTTTCCTAAGGTGAAAGGTAAGGATGGAGTTGGAGCTGTGATGGATTCCATGGAGCTGGAGCGACAGCGGGGCATCACCATTCAGTCTGCGGCCACTTACACCATGTGGAGAGACACCAACATCAACATCATCGACACACCAGGTGAGCCAGCTGGGACCGCCTGGGGGTCGCTGTTCCTCGTGGGTGCAGAGGACGTGGTGCATCTTTGTGTTGGGACAGGACAGTGTGTGCTGGATTCAACCTGGCAGAGGGGGAGTTTAGGTGAGACAGAGGAAGGAATCCTTCCCTGGGAGGGTGGGCAGGCCCTGGCACAGGTTGCCCAGAGAAGCTGTGGCTGTCCCATCCCTGGAGGTGTCCAAAGCCAGGTGGGAACAACCTGGGCTGGTGGAAGGTGTCTCTGCCCATGGCAGGGGGTGGGACTTTAAGCTCCTTCCCACCCAAACCATTCCTGGTTCCACAATCAGCCACTCAAGCTGATGTGACTCTGTGGCTGGAGGGTTTGGTTCTGTTGGCTGTTGCTGCTTTTTGCACTCATTTATCATGGTTAATGAGTTATTGTCATTCAGGGCACGTGGACTTCACCATTGAAGTGGAGAGGTCTCTGAGAGTCCTGGATGGAGCAATCCTGGTCCTCTGTGCTGTTGGAGGAGTCCAGTGCCAGACCATCACTGTGAACAGGCAGATGAAGAGGTACAACGTGCCCTTCCTGACCTTCATCAACAAACTGGACAGGATGGGCTCCAACCCAGCCAGGGCCGTGCAGCAACTCAGGTATTTACCATTTAAAATTACTTGTGAAGTCATTCTGAACACTCCCATGGCAGGTGGAGAATAGTGGAGAGGGTTCTCTTTGTGGCTGCAGTTTGGGGAATGCCTGATTTGAGGTCAGATCTTAATCTGACCCATAAGTCTCCAAAAACCCCAAATGTTTGGGTCAGCCAAGGCTTGCAGGGACCAAGAAGAGCTGGGGTTTGATATTTATTTTGTTGATGGAACTGTAGTTGCAGCCACCTTGAAAGCAGCCTTTTGGTTTTCCCTAGATCCTGGCGACACAGGTGCTGCTGGAATTCCAGCAGGGAGGTGATGGGGTGGTTTGGATGCCTGGAATCCTGCTTGCTCCTCATTTGATCTGTGAGATAACTCATTAATATGCATGAAGGGAGAAGCCTCCCCTCTAATCAAGTCATCAATCTCAAACCAGTCTCCCCCGCCTTCTTTCCCGTGGGATTGGCTCCCTGTTCCTCTTGGGCCACCCTGCCTGGAACACACCTGGGTGGTTTTTATCAGCACTGACAGATTTTTGGCACTGCCCAAAGGATGAAATCCAGGGATTTTGTGGGAGTTGTTCAAAGACCATCTGGGGGAGACCCACAGAAGCAACGTTTTTATTGAACTAATTCTGTTTTCTCCCTTTCCCAGGTCCAAGTTGAAACACAATGCAGCTTTTGTGCAGATTCCAATTGGGCTGGAGGGAAACTTCAAAGGAATTATAGATCTGATTGAAGAAAAAGCCATTTATTTTGATGGGGCACTCGGGTGAGTTGACAAAGTCGCTGCTTTCTTGGCTGGAGCTGCTCCTTGCAGGAGGAATTGCTCCTGCAGAGGGGAAACCCTGCTCTCTGGGAATTCCAGGGTAGTGTTTTTGCCAGGGCTGAGCTCAGCCTCCAGCATTCCCATCTCCTGGTCCTGCAGGGATGGGTGGTGGGAAGGGGTGGTGGCCACACTTCCCACCCTGACAAACAGCGGGACGTGCTCCCTAACGGGATCTGGCAGTGCACGTGTGGCTGCTGGGATGAAGATAAGATGTGGGTGGGGCTGCTGAACAGGTCCTGCATCCTTCGAGCTCCTGCAGGAGTGGGAAGGAACCTTCTCCTGCCGGAGCACCAACGCCAGTACTCGCAGGGGGTTTTTTCCCGTTATCCATTTCAGCAGTGAGTTTTTCTGGGTCAGGCTGGCGGTGGCAGTGATGGGAAGGTCGATGCACGTGGTTGACTCGCTGTGAGTGCTGATTTACCCCTGTGTGTGCAGCCAGACCCTGCGTTTCGAGGAGATCCCCGCCGAGCTGCGCGCGGAGGCCGCCGAGCGGCGCCGGGAGCTCATCGAGTGCGTCGCCAACTCGGACGATCAGCTCGGGGAGATGTTCCTGGAGGAGAAGATTCCCACAGCTGCTGAGCTGAAGGTACCTCCAGAGGGGTGCAGCTCTTTGCTGGCCAGGGAAGCCAGGGAGGTGCAGGGGGAGAGGTAACTGTGCTGTTTTGCAGCTGGCCATCAGGAGAGCGACGCTGAGCAAGTCCTTCACCCCCGTCCTCGTGGGGAGTGCCCTGAAGAACAAAGGGGTGCAGCCACTGCTGGATGCTGTCCTGGAATACCTTCCCAATCCTTCCGAGGTGGAGAATTATGCCCTTCTGAACCAGGGGTAAGGAGTGTCCAAGGCCAGGCTGGACAGGGCTTGGAGCAACCCCCACGAGTGGAAGGTGTCCCTGCCCATGGCAGGGGTGGGACTGGAAGGACTTCAAGGTCCTTTCCAACCCAAACCATTCCATGATTCTATGGAGTAGTTTCAAAGCAGTTCAGAACATAGCAGGAAACACCAGTAACAAGATCCAGGATCATTCACCATTTGTGTTAAATAACAGCCCCAGAATTTGGCACGAACTCCCAAACCTGAGAGAGCTCCTTTCATCTGAGGGTTACCCTTTGTACTGGTGTTATTAACACATTAAATGTGGGAAATGATCATGAGACAGTTCATTGGAAGTGATGGCACCCTCCAAGCCTTCAGCCCCTTCCAATGCCTGACAACCCTTTCCAGGAAGAAATTCCACCTGATGTCCAACCTGAGCCTGCCCTGGCACAGCCTGAGGCTGTGTCCTCTTGTCCTGTCCCTTGTTCACTGGGAGAAAAGTCCAACAATTAGGTGTGAACCCCAACATTAAAGGCAGTAAAGAGCCAGCAGATGCTTGGAGGAGGCTCCCAAGTTGCCTCATAACCTCACCTCCCTCTCCATCCCTGTTTCTCAGGGATTCTGAGGACGAATCCAAGTTCCTGTTGAACCCTGCTCGTGATGATTCCCAGCCTTTCATCGGCCTTGCCTTCAAACTGGAGGTGAGTCCACTGAGCTCCTTCCTAACGACTCACACAGTGAATCCAAACTGAGGGGGCTGCCAAAAGTTATGTAGAGCAAGCTTTAAAATCAGGTTATATTTAAATTCAGTTTGAACTTCACCTTTAAAAAATTGGTTCCCACCCTAAAATCCACCAGTGTGTCCAACAGTGCCAGTTTGGAATTTAGAATGGGTTATGTCCCTCGAATATCTCATGGCTTTCTTAGTTAAAACTCAAACAGTTGGGGGGTTATGGGTTTATTTAAAATACTTTCAGAGAAAAATCCTGGGTTTGAAAACAACAGAACAGGAGAGATTTGGAGAGGATAAATCGAGCACAGTTTTAAGGAAAGAGGGTTGTTTCTGCCTGAAGAGCAGCACCTCAGGTTTCATATTCCATGTCGATGTGTGTCTCTGTTTGGAAGGTTTGGGATTGATAAAATGAGTTCAGAAAATTGCCAGGAAATGCCAAATTGCACCCCAGAGCCAAGGGGGAGCTGAGACTCTTAAAAATGCCTCAGTTGCATTTCTGGGGTGGAAATGCAAACCAGAAACACCCCATCAGTGTTTGACACTTTCAGTAACACTGGCCTCGCTTCCCAGAAGGATCACATGTGATTTTTTTCATGGATTTTTGCTTCCAGGCTGGTAAATTTGGGCAGTTGACCTACATCAGAGTTTACCAGGGGATGTTGAAGAAGTCTGATTACATCTACAACACCAGGACCGGGAAGAGGGTGCGAGTGCAGAGGCTCGTCCGGATGCACTCGGACAACATGGAGGTGAGTGATCCCTAGGGATGGGGTGGGCTCTGAGCCACTGCCTGACATTCCTGCAGTGGCTCAGGACTGCCTGGAACACAGCACAGTGGTTCACTTCACATCCTTAAACTGCAACAAGTTGGCACCCAAGCTGAGCTCTCCCTTTTGTCCTTGGAATAAAGAGGTGGAAGCTTCACAGAGCGTTTTAGCCCAGCTGGAATTTTACAGGAGCTCAATGTCAAGCTTTAATGTATTTAATATATTTATGTGTCTTGTATAAACCAGGGGTAGTTTCTCTCATAGGACAAATCCCAGAACAGTTTGGGTTGGAAGGACCTTCAAGCCCATCCAGTGCCACCCCTGCCATGGGCAGGGACACCTCCCACCAGCCCAGGGTGCTCCAAACCCTGTCCAGCCTGGCCTGGGACACTCCCAGGGATCCAGGGGCAGCCACAGCCTCTCTTACCTTTCAGTGTTCCCTAACCAGGAAACTTTTCTTTCCCAAGGATGTAAATGAAGTTTACGCTGGAGACATCTGTGCCCTGTTTGGGATTGACTGTGCCAGCGGGGACACCTTCACTGATAAAACCAGCACTGCCATCTCCATGGTGAGCTCCCCTTGCCCTGTGGGGATCCCTCAGGCGCTGGGATCTACGAGGATTTTGCTGGGGAAGGTTGTAATCATCCCCTCTTCCTTGGTGGCCTCTGCAGGAATCCATCCACGTCCCTGACCCCGTCATTTCCGTGGCCATGAAGCCTTCCAACAAGGTAGGAGCCTGTGGATTTCCCTGGCTTCCCCTCCCTTTGCTGCTTTTAGGATTTAATGCAGGTTAAACAAGGAACAGGCTAAAACAAGCACTGTTCCAAAGTGTTTTATCCACAATCCCTCAGCTGATACCACTGGAGAACCCAGCAGGTGGCTGGGCTGGGTGATGTCACTCACCCACGAATAAGGAGCATTTCTTTGACCTGAACTTGAAATAAATCACAATTAGCACATTAACAAATACACTTAGAAGTGTTTCAGAAAATAACCTCAGAGAGCAGACGTGCTCAGCAGCTGACAGGAAAAGCTGAGGCCTTTTTCTTGGCTAATTTCTGGAATTTGAGCAAATCTTGTGTATTTGATTGTATTTCAGAACGACTTTGACAAATTTTCCAAAGGCCTGAACCGCTTCACGAGGGAAGATCCCACTTTCAGAGTGCACTTTGATGATGAGAGCAAGGAGACCATTGTTTCTGGGATGGGGGAGCTGCACCTGGAAATCTATGCCCAGGTAATTGGGAAAGCAGATTCCATGGCCTCTGCTTTTCCCTGGTTTTCCAACCACAAATTCTCCTTCCTTTTCCTCCTCCTATTCCTTCTTTCCAGCTGTTTTGGGAAGAGTGTAACTGTAAATCAACTTCTGCAGGTTCCTTCTCTGCAGTGGTTCCATTTTGAAGGATTCTAAACTATTTAAAGGAAACTTCTGCCTGGAATATTTTCACTTTTTCAGTTCAAATCCATAAAAAATGTATTAAGCACTACACTTTGCTTTAGCAGCCTTTGCTTATAATTACTTAATAATTAACAATAATTAATTTCTGCAGAAAAAATACTCAGTTTCTGTGGTTTTAAGTGTATCATTCCATAGAAAATCTGATGCAGGGAGAAGGGAATAGTTACTCACAGTGATTATTCTCACTCCAGTTGATGTCTGTATTTTAATTAACACAAGAGATGTGTCTGAGATGTTGACAGAACAAAGAAAAGACGGTTTTGCCTTGAAAAACTTAAAACTTTAATAGAAAAATTAATGCTGTTCCCTTTTCCTGTGTGGATCATAAACAAAGCTGGATGCAGAAATGACAGTGAACAATTTATGACATTAGAAAAAAAAACACCAAAAAGCCCCCAAAAATCGGTGAAAAGCCCTGGTTAACCCTGATTAAGTTCATGCAGTGATTTCCAAAGAACTGTTCTAATGGCACAACTCTGGGTCTTTCCCTGCAGCGAATGGAGAGGGAATATGGTTGTCCTTGCACCATGGGGAAGCCCAAAGTTGCCTTCAGGGAGAACATCTCTGCACCTGTGCCGTGAGTATTCCCTCTGGGAATTGTCTGCTTCCTTTCTCGGGATGCAGTGTTTGGTGAAGGAGCAGAGCAGCTCTGGGGTGATCCCCTCAAAGCCCAGGGCACAGCAGAAGTGTCATTTATTGTCTTTGCACCCTGATTCCTTCCCCACCCCTTCCCTCCTCTGTCCTCCCTCCCAACTCCTCTTGGAGCTCCGGAGCTGCTTCCAGGGGGGATCAGGGGGTCCCTCATCCCGAGGTGTGTCTGGGCTGGCGGCTGTCCCGTGTCACTTGGACACCATCCCAAGGGTGCCACAGCACTGTCATCTCCCAGGGAATGATCTCCTGTGGGAGGGACAACAGGGAACAATCTGGCAACAATTCTCTTGACTAGTCAGCAATTTCTCTTCATGGAAAGCTCAGGAACCAAACCCACTGCAGGGGCCCTTGGCTGGAATTTGAAGCTGACCTTGGTTTAAACTTGAAGCTGGCCATCATTTCAGGAGTCACTCTGATCTCACAGTGTATCTCCTCCAAACACACAGGAAAACTGGGAGAATCCGTGGAATTCTCTTAGTTTAAAACTTGGGAGTGTGCAGGGGGTTGGGAGCGGCGGAGCTGGAGCTGAGAGGGAGATCCCTGGTGGTTTTTCCAGGAGGTTGCACAACCAGGATCTTCTCTCTCACACTTTGTGTTTTCCTTATGAAAACACTTGCTCAGATCCCAAAATTATGGTGGGGAATATTTCAAAGTGATGGGAACCAGTTTGTGCTGGGAGTTACTGGGATAGGTGAGGTGTCTGTGCTGGGCATGGCAGCATTCCCAGCCCCTGGAATTCTGCTGAGCACTCCAAGATGCTGCTTCTTCCCTTGATCCCTGCCCAGTTTGGCGCTGGGATCTCCCAGGAGGAAAGGGCAGTGAAGTGTTTTGAACCCCAGCTATTCCCAGGAAAGGCCAGAAACAGCTGGAAATTGCTGCTGTTGTGTCCTGGAATGCTGGGATGGGCAGGGAAGGTGGCCCTGAGCTCCCCCTGCTCTGTGCCCACCCCACCACCTGTGTGCCTGAGCTGAGCTGCCAGGCTTAAAACCACGACCAAAAAAAAGGCTTTTCAGAAATCCAGTATTTACCTGGGACACCATTTCGTGAAGTAGAACCAGGAAGTCAAATTGCAGGTATTTGTCACTTCTCCTCTGGAAAGACAGGGTGAAAAGGGGTGAATTTGAGGCTTCTCCCCACCTGAAAAGCAGTGAGTCAGTTCTTTGGTTCTCTAAAACATCCTGATTTGTGTTTCTGTGACTCCAAAATTGCTCTGGAGAGATGGATGTGAGGCTTCAAACTCTGCCAGTGCCTCCCTTAAAGAAATCAAAGAAATATCAACTCCTTTGGGATGGGAACACCTCCTCCTACAAGGTGTCAGTTTAACCCAAATAATCCCAAATAAAATTGTCAGTAGGGTAAGGACAGACCCCAGAGGCCTTACAGTGATTCTGTGAGTGACAAAATATACACTGGCCTTGGGAATATACTCTTTTCCCATGTATTTTTCAGGGAAAAGGAACAAAATTCCCCAAGAGAGGTGGCAGCTGTGTTAATTTAATAGTTTTCTGTCTGCCTTGTCCTCAAATTTGTTAAAGAGGGGTTTAAAATCTTTAAACTCTCGCTGGTGCACAGCCCTGCAGCAGCTGTGAATTGCTCCAAGATGCCATCAGAGGGAGCAAAACATTCACAAATCCTGCTCCCTGAAGGAATTTGTCTCTCCTTCATCCCCACCACTCCCTGGGAATTCACTGGCTGTTCTGAGTGGCAGAAACATTTGGGCTTTGTAGGTTCTCTGAATCCTAAATCCTGTTTGCTTATCCTTGTTTGTTTTCTCCAGACAGAGCTGAGGAAATAGGGAGAATCTAGAGAATTCTATTAATTTACCAGTAAGACCAAAAGGACTTTGCTGTGACAGTTCCCAGGCAAAGAGTCTGTCAGGCCTGGTGGTGGCAATTAATGACTCAGTTAATTTCAGGAGCTGCAGGGAGATGTGCCAGGTTTTGATTCCTTAGCTTAGGGCAGATCCAGATGTGCTCAGGGTAAACCCATCCCTTGTAACCACCCAGAAATAAATCAGGAAATATTTTATCCTGGAATATTCTGTTCCCTTTCTCCCTTGTGTTCCCCTTTTGTCCTCCTCAGTTCAGGGTTCTTAACCATAAACTCAGTTGATGCTCATCATGGTAAGGGAAGTCCAAGAGCTCAAATAAAAAGCCCTTTTAGGTTCTCTCCCCTAATTGCTGTTTGATTAGAGGGAAGGGGTAGTAGAACAAAATTCAGACACTGGATTGGATTCTTAAAACCCAACCAGAGCAGGAAGTTCAGACATAACTGAGGTTTCCTGAATGTGGATTTTTAAGGATGTGGATCCAGCTCTGCCCTAGTCCCTGCTTAGCTCCTGAATACTCTTGCAGAGCACTGAGAGCCAAGGCCAGGTTGGAATTTGTGTCAGGGGAAAGGAGAACACCCTGGGAGTGTCCCAGGCCAGGCTGGACGGGGCTTGGAGCAACCTGGGCTAGGGGAAGGTGTCCCTGCCCAGGGCAGGGGGTGGGAATGAGATGGGCTTTAAGGTGCCTTCCAGCCCAAACCATTCTGGAATCCTGTGAGTGATGGGGACTTACCACCTGCTTCACATGTTTGACTTGGGCCAGCTGGAGCTGGGTGTTTTCCGTGGAATTCTGCCACACCAGGTATCCCGAGGCGGCCCAGGCGAGCAGGTGGAGGGGCTGCAGCTCTGGGGGCACGTGGCCATGGCTGTCTGGGGAACAAAACAATTCCTGGGTGTTAAACAACAGCCAACTTCATCCCCTGGTGCTGAAGTCACTCCCTGCCATGTCACAAAACCTTCCACAGGGTATCTTGGAGGAGCTGCTGCATCCCCACAGTGTCTCCTCCAGTGGAATCACAGCGTGGGTTGGGTTGGGAGGGACCTCAAAGTTCCTCTCATTCCACCCCCTGCCATGGGCAGGGACACCTTCCCCTAGCCCAGGTTGCTCCAAGCCCTGTCCAGCCTGGCCTGGGACACTCCCAGGGTGTTCTCCTGCACTTCTTTCCCCTGACATAAGAAGTTTTCAAGGCTCTGAAGTCAGAGCAGACCCCCATTGTCAGTCGGGGTGTGGGATGTGCCCAGGACAGCTCAGGGGGAGCAGGAGGAGGTGACAGTGGCAGGTGGTTCTCCAGAACAGCCACATGCAAATCATGGCTCAGTTCTGGATTTCAGAAATCAGTAAATTGAGTGGGTGTGACTGACAGACCCCCCCCAGAAAGAGAAAGGGGAGCAGCACGTGTTCAGAGCAGGGGGAAGGCCTGATCCTTCTCCCCCAGCCCCACCCTTGTACCTGGAATGTTCTCTGCCACCAGCTCATTTTCCAGGCTCCTGATTCGAGTGTAGAACACGTGATCTGCTTCCTCTGTGCTCTTTAGTTCTCCTTCAAGGGTGAACTGCACATCTGGGGCAGTGTTTTTGTTGCCCAGATGATACAGAACCTCAGCAGTGCAGTTAACAGTACTGTCCTGTCACAGAGTTAATTATGTGCATTAATATTTCGTGGAAGTACATGTATAATGGGGGTAATTTGCACTTCTAACATGTCTCTGTTTTCTCTGAGTCTGGCCCAGAGAGATTTGTGGTTATTTAAGGCAAGGTTAAATTCGTGGTTTATCTGTGAGTGCATAAAGGTGATTTGCTTTCTGCAGCGATGGGAAGGGCAGTGGGTGGGGTGCAGAATGTCCCTTGTGCTGTTCAGTTGGGGCTGAGTGACACTGAAATGTCCTTGTCATCCCTCCAGCACTGTCTGGTGCTGGAGTGGAAGGTACCACATGGGCAGGGCTTCTTGGGTGGGTTCCCTGTTGGTAAAATTTAGCCTTTTTTTTGCCTGATTGGCAGGATAAAAAAATCAGAAACACGATCCCAAATGTGATTAGTTGGTGTGTCCCCTGGCCTGAGCCAGAGCAGCAGCATAAAGTGAGTTTGTGACACACTCAGAGTGGTTAATTAAATCAACCTGAACTCACTTTGTCCAGCTCATCTTCCAGCTCCAGTTCCAGGTGGTACTTGTGCCCAACATCCTTGATGTCCTAAGAAAGGGAAAACATTAAGGATGTTTATTTTGTCAAATGCTGAATGACTTTGCATAGTGGACAAGACCAGAGAATCATGGAATGGTTTGGGAAGGGAATTTAAAACTCATCCAGTCCCACCCCCTGCCACGGGCAGGGACACCTTCCACTGTCCCAGATTGCTCCAGCCTGGCCTGGGACACTTCCAGGGATGAGGCAGCCACAGCTTCTCTGGGCACCCTGTGCCAGGGCCTGCCCACCCTCCTTTCTAGCCTGGAATACCCCTGAATTGACACTTTGGGGCTCCCCACGTGATTCCATCCAGGATGTGCTGCTGGGTAAATACCCAGGTAGGAGTGTTCAGGGATTCCTCGAGTGAAGTCCCTCCTGCAGTTGGTTATGAATCATGTCCTGGATTTTTTTGGCTGTAATGACTGCAGGAAGGAGGTGGGGGTTGCTGTGCCCCTGTTTGGGGGTTCTGTGCCCTGTTCCCATGGGTTCAGCTGTAACCCCAGCCCAGGTGAGCAGCGAGGCGTGTCCCGGCAGCCGCGATCCCCGCACCCTCCTCCCTGCCGAGTGTCCTTGGGAGGCTCCCCGGGCCCGCTGCCATCGTGGGAACAGCACAGGCTGTGTTCCACCTTCCCACCCGGCCCGACTGCTCCCAGCCCCGGGGCCCTTCGGGACACGCAGGTGCCCCCAAAAAAGCCGCGGTTGGAAGGGATGGGGGGATCGCCCGGTCCAACCCCCCTGCCCCGGCGAGCCGGTGGGACTGGGGTGTCTCGGGCGAGGGGACTCCCGGCCCTCCCTGGGCAGCTGTCGTCGAGCTCTGGCCCGTCCCGCAGGGGTGTCCGGGGGTTGGGTGTGCGGGGTTGGGTTGGGGGTGCGGGGCTGTGCGGGGTTGGGTTGGGGTGGGGTTGGGTGCAGGGGGGTTGCGGTTGGGTTGGGTGTGCGGGGTTGGGTGTGGCTGGTGGTGTGCGAGGTGTGCGGGGTTGGTGTCGGGGTTGGGTGTGCGGGTTGGGTTGGGTGTTCGGGGGTTGTGTGCAGGGCTGGGTTGGGTGTCCGCAGGGGTTGGGTGTGCGGGGGTGGGTGTGCGGGGTTGGGTTGCGGGGTGGGGCAGGGGGGTTGGGTTGCGGGGGCTGGTTGGGCGGGGTTGGGTGTGCGGGGTTAGGGGGTGTCCGGGGTTGGGTGTCAGGGTTGGGTTGGGTGTGCAGGGGGTTGGGTTGGGGGTGTGCAGGAGGGGTTGGGTCGGGTTGGGCTGCTGTGCAGGGGTTCCTCTCGCATGCGCAGCCCACGCGCAGCTCCCGCAGCCGCAGCGCCCGCGCGGGGCCGCCCCGCCGGTACCGCAGCAGCGCCTCGGCCACGGCCGCGGCCCGGCCCGCCGGGAACCGCCGCGGGGGCAGCTCCGGGGACGGCTCCATGGCCCTGCCAGCCGGGAACTGCCGAGGGGGAAGCTCCACGGCCCGCCCGGCGCTTCCTCCGGCCGCAGGAAGGAGAGCCGGGGGAGGGAGCGGCAGCGGCGGGGCCCGCCCCGGGGAGCGGGCGGGGACGGGGCTGGGAGCGCGGAGCTGCCCGGCCCCAGGGAACGGAGCTTTGTTCTGCGAACAGAACAGCGTTCGGTGGGGTAGCGGGGAGAAATCCTTCCCTGGTAAGAAACAGGCACAGGGTGCCCAGGGAAGCTGCGGCTGCCCCGTCCCTGGGAGTGTCCAAAGCGGGGTTGGAGCACCCTGTGCTGGTGGAAGGTGGACAGTGCCATAACCTTTACGTTCCTTCCAAACCCAAAGCACTCTGGGATTCTCTGAACTGCAGAATGGGGATTTTTTTTTTTTTTTCCCCTGGGGTTGCAGCAGGTTAATGTGTTTGGGGTGTTTGTTTTCAGGTTTGAATTCACCCACAAGAAGCAGACAGGAGGAGCGGGCCAGTACGGCAAAGTCATCGGGGTGCTGGAGCCCCTGGATCCCGAGGACTACACCAAAGTAGAGTTTGAAGACAGAACCGTTGGCACAAATATTCCCAAACAATTCGTGCCTGCTGTGGAAAAGGTACAAACCATTTGAGTGCTACAGAAAATACTGATTTTTGTGTTTTCCTGCCATATCATCCCCATTTGCTGTGCTGGCCTTGCCACAGGCAAGGGGGTTTTTCCTGTTTCTTTAGTGGAAACAGAATCATTTGTGTGGTTTTACTTCATATCTCACATTCCTGGGTTTTCCACTGACTTTAGAAGCTGCTGTGTTTGCTTTGCTGGTGTGTGCTGGCTCTGTTTCCCTGGCAGTGCCTGCTTTCCTTGCTCACAGTCCAACAATCCTCCTGCTCAGTCTGCTTCTTACTGCCCCTTCTGCTTTTGGTTGTGGCCCCACAATTCTCATTTCTAACCCCAAAGTATGGAACTTTTTCTGTGGCTTCTCTGAGGCCAATTATGTAGGAAGCTGTAATTAAGCTGCATTTCCTGCCTGAATTCCCAGTTCATCTCTGTGGCTATCTCTCTGTAAGATTTATCACATACTCTTTTAATTAACCTGCCCTCATCTTGGAATTCCTGTGACAACCCAAAATAATTCCTCCATTATTCTATGATGCAACACTTGAAGATTTTTGCAAAATCCTGAAAAAAACCAGGCAGTCTTAAAGGAATCTTGTTTTCCAGGCAGGAGCTCTTTCCACCCAGAGCGTTCTTTGGGGTTTTGGCCGCACAGTCCCTTACAAAGCCAGTTTTCCTTGTGCCTTGGTTTTCAGTTTCCTGAAGCATCCCTTTCCAGCTGAGGTGCCAAAGGCTGGCAGCACAGAGGCTGCAGATTGCTGCTGACTGGGAGCTGTCGTTGCAGGGGTTCCGAGATGCCTGCGAGAAGGGCCTGGTGTCGGGGCACAGGATCTCCGGGGTGCGCTTCGTCCTGGAGGACGGGGCCCACCACATGGTGGACTCCAACGAGATCTCCTTCATCAGGGCAGGAGAAGGAGCCCTGAAACAAGGTAGGAGCCCCTTGTTTGGATGTGTCCTGGCTCTTGTTGCTGGGGCTGAATTCAACAGCCTCCTTTCTGTTATTTGGGGTATCCATCCGTCATCCATCCATCCAAAGTTTGGCCACTTGTGTAGAGCACAGTACAGGAGTTTATAGAATTTTTGAGGGAGGCACAGCAGCTCTTGTGGTTCTGTGAAGGAGATCCTGTTTCCCTGGGGTACAGTGCAGAAACACCAGCAGCACCATCCTTACAGGGCGGGAAGAGAACATTGGGTCAAACTGTGCCTTTTTTAGGGAAAATGTCTTCCCTGGAGGGGGACTGAAGCACTGGGACAGGGAGCTGCTGGAGTCACAACCCCTGGGAGTGCCCAGAAAACGAGGGGATGGTGGCACTTCACAACATGGTTTAGGGTCAGAGGTTGGATTTGGTGACCTTGGAGGTCTTTTCCAACCTAAATGACTCCGTTATTGTGGTGTCAGGACCGACAGGCAGGGAGCTGGAATTCCATGGAGCTGATTGTGGGAAACACTTGGCATTAACATAAACCATTTGTTGCTGGGGGGGGGCAGTATCTCAACTTACCCAGGCTTGTGATGCTGGCTCACTTATCCCTGTTTTTCCCAGCCATGGAGAACGCCACGGTGCGACTCATCGAGCCCATCATGGCCGTGGAGGTGATGGCTCCCACGGAATTCCAGGGCGCTGTGATAGCCGGGATCAACCGGCGCCACGGGCTCATCACGGGGCAGGACGGGGCAGAGGGCTACTTCACCCTCTATGCTGAGGTCTGTGGTGTTCCCAGCTTTTCCTTTCCTCCTGTTGCCTTTTGATTCCGTCACTGGGGATGAAGGTGGAGCCAGGCTGGCTCGGTTTCCACGTTCCCTTTCTTATGTCCCTTCTAAAAATGTGTGTTTTCCTGTTGGGTGGTGGGAGGGGAAATGCACTGCATCCCTTCTGCTTCCTCAGCTGAGGAATTCCATTAGAGCCCCAGTCTGGAGTTATCTCAACCCCTGTGATCTCTGGATGACACGGCCCTGAAATCCAGGATATTCCAGTTCCTGGTGCATTCAGACTCTGGGGTTTCTGAACTTTCCTGCTGAAAACACGTTGCAAGTCTAAACGAGTTAAAAAATAACAGGAACTTGACAACAACAGGTCACTAAATCCGAGCTTTTTGCAGGCAGCACTGACCCCTTTGTATCAGAATTGGGATTAATTAGGTGGTAACTCAAAGGTGAGGGAAAAAGTGTTTTGTTTTTATGAGCCTGTGTTTGGATTTCAGGTGCCCCTGAATGACATGTTTGGATATGCCACTGAGCTGAGGTCCTGCACAGAGGTGAGTTTTTATTTCTGTAAATTGCATCGTTGTATCCATAGCACCTGCAGCAGGGAGGGAGATAAAAACCAAACCCAGAGCTGGGTCATTCCTGGGCAAAAAATTCTTCCCCTCTTTGGGTTCTGTCTGTGTGGGATTGTGAAGGATTCGTGGGTGCTGTTTCACAGACAGGGGTGGGAGCTGCTGCTCTGCAGGGTTCCACGTGTCCCATCCTCACCTGGACTTCCTTTTCCCAATTTTACAGGGAAAGGGGGAATATACCATGGAATACTCCAGATACCACCCATGTTCACCCAGCACTCAGGAAGAAATAATCAACAAATACCTGGAAGCAACGGGGCGACTTCCTGCCAAAAAGGGCAAAGCCAAGAGCTGATCGGACTTCTCTGAACAGTTTTTCCCAACCTCCTCCAACAGCTCAGTTTTCCAAGCCGTGGAAGCAGGCAAGGCTGGCTGGGGAAGGCAGGCTGCAGTGGGATTTGGACTTGGAATTTTGTCATCATGCCCTTCCTCTGTGGAATTCTCAGGAGCCACCAGAGGATCACAGCGGAATTGTTCACATGTAAATGCTGTCCTTACCAAAATATATGTTAGAACACGGCTGATAATAGGTCTTGAAACTTATCTTAATTAAGTTCTATTAAAATAATTGTATTTTTTACTTGCTACAGCATTATTGTGTAATCAGGTTTGGGAAGTTTGAAAATGTTGAGGTGGGGGAGTCAGGTAAGAGCTGCAGGACGGGCACAGGGGCTGGGTGAGTTGTCATCCCACACTGAGCACTTCTCACAGGCTGCTCCCAGCCTCCCTCCAGGGAAAAACGCCACTTTTCCCTCCAAATCCTCCAGAAATGGCACAGGATCCTCCCAAAGTCTCCATCCACCAGGCAAAGCCATCGCTCAGTGCCACTGCCTGGGCACCAAACCTGCTTTTCCCTGGGGGCACAGGAGAGTTGACTCAAGAGAGTGCTGGTAGGAGTTAACTCTTCCCAAAGCTGGGAACAACCTGGAACTCCTGCATGGGCTTGGTGATGTGGGTTCACTGCACGGGCTTGGCTTTGGCTCTCTGTTAGAAAACCCACCCAGAGCTTTCTCTCCCCAGAATGTCCCAATCCCGAGGGCGTGTCCAGCCCATGCTGGAATCACTGACTGAAATCTTGCTGACTCATTGCAGAGACACAACGAGGACCCTGGAGCTCCATGGGAAGGGGGAGATTGATTTCCAGAAAAGCCCTGCAGCTCCTCAGGCACTGGGAGATTTTCTTTTAACAAACCTTTTACCAAAATTCAGGGTTGGCTTATGAAAGCAGTGTGGAAACAGGAAAGGGATGGATGGGGTGGTTGGGATTTTATTTATATTTCTGGGTTTCATGCTCTGCTTAGGCCAGTGTGGAGTGAATTCCTGGCTCGTGGGTGCTGCCACGTGTGCTGCTGCTTCACAAGTCTGGAAAAAACCAAAACCCCAAGAATTTTGCTGTGTGATTTTAGGTTTTAGGCTGAAATCTTGGCCTAAAAGCAGCTGCCTTAGAATTCCAACAGCTTTGCTGCTTCTCCAGAAGGTACTGTGGAGTTTCTTAACTGCTGTAAGTTGGTGTTGCTTGGGAGTAGCTGGAGTTACACTGACCTGGTGATGGGGAAAGTGCCCAATCCTCTGGTCTAGCTCTGCAGAGCAGTGGCAAAAACAGGGTAAGGACACTAAAGCAGAGCCCCAAAGTGCAAAATCCATCCTATTTTCTTGTTTATATTCCAAAAACTATTTTAATCACCAGCTTCTTTAAGAACTGTTGAACTTCTCGGCTCTGATTTCATGCTTTGGATGAGGAGAAATGTTCCACCAGCACAAAATAAAGCCCCAGGAGGATGTGGGATGCTGCTTCCCTGAATTTACTGTGGTGCCTGGCGTGTGCTGAGAGAGAAAGCTTCACTCAGGAAATCAGGCTGAATAATCTGGGTGTGTAAAACTCTGGGTGGGTTGGCATCACCCAGCCTAAATACCTGCAGGGAAAACTGTCATGTGAAACCCTGGGATCGTTGTTATTACTGGTTACAGATCCAGGATAATGCAAACCACCACAAATCCCAGAGAACAGCCATCCCAGCACCTGTTTCCCTCAGGAGTGGGCTG